GACGATAGCCCCCCCCTATATACTCATATTGAGAGGAAAAAATGTAAAATATAGTAAATAAAATATCAGAGTTTACGTAGAGATGTTGAAAGTATGGAGTTGAAGTAGAATTTAGAAGGAACAGTAAAAACCAATCCTAAACAGGAAATAAAGGACAAACCTCTACTCCTGTTCAAAAAGACTGGGGAGTAATGTGAACATGACGATAGCCCCCCTATATACTCATATTGAGAGGAAAAATGTAAAATATAGTAAATAAAATATCAGAGTTTACGTAGAGATGTTGAAAGTATGGAGTTGAAGTAGAATTTAGAAGGAACAGTAAAAACCAATCCTAAACAGGAAATAAAGGACAAACCTCTACTCCTGTTCAAAAGACTGGGGAGTAATGTGAACATGACGATAGCCCCCCCATATACTCATATTGAGAGGAAAAAATGTAAAAAAATAGTAAATAAAAGAACAGGGTAGATTTGCTATCAAAACCATCACTGAAGAATCGGTAAATATATACACGAGAATTGAAATGCTATACATCCATGAAAATAAATCGAACCTTAAAAGATATAATATCTTGCTGAAATATTCAAGTTGTGGCGATAGAAAACAGCGTGCTGCCAGGAGAAATGCTTTTAATTCAAGAGAATAATGATTTGCAATTTGCGATTGTGGTCGGCGGTGGAGGGTAGATTTATTTAGCCATTAGATAATCGCAATGCGCGATCAACATCACAGTTCCTCCCAGCAGATTGGCTCCGATAATCATCATTTAGCTGAACAGGCCTCCTTGAATTATGGCTTTCTCCGAAATTATTTCCAGGAAAAATTCTTATATTGACAATGATTTATGGAGAGGTTTAACTTCAAGGCCAAAAGTTATTTGGCAAAACACATTAGCTAAATTATCACGCATACATACACACACACAGAAACACACAGACACACGCACACACACACACACATATTCTTACATATGTATGATATATATATATATATATATATATATATATATATATATATATATATATATAAAAGGAGAGAGAGACAGACAGACCGACAAGGGCTAAATCAATAAGTCTATAGCCGATTATAGATGTAAAGAAAAAGAGATGTTAGTGCAATTATGAAATGTTGATTATTAAGCACCGAACATTATACAGTGAACATATCAGATCCAAATTGACCTAATGACTATGTGTGTGGTCTTGGGCTACACTCCCTCACTTATATAAATAATATATAACATATGCAAGAAATTGATTCATGGAATCGAAAGTATATATATATATATATATATATATATATATATATATATATATATATATATATATATATATATATATATATATAGTATTTAAGTACTGGTGTTAATAAAATAGCGCTAGACAATATAACAGAGCTATACATTATATATTAATGAATATATATTTTTTTCTCGCGGGTAGCACGACTCGGAGTACATCACAATCTTCAGGTGCCGAAATGAGATTGCTACAGGTAAGGAGAAAAATATAAATATCTCTCTCAACTTCTTCTTCTTCTTCTTCTTCTTCTTCTTCTTCTTCTTCTTCTTCTCTCACTCTCACTCTCTCTCTCTCTCTCTCTCTCTTTCTCTCTGTATATTAATATATATATGAAGAAATACAGTCTTAAGATGTGCTATATTCATTGGATAAAGTGCTCAATATCAGAGATAGAGCGCGCGTAAATATAAAAGTCAACACTTAGAGGCCACAGGCTGTTTAATGCTAGACGCAATCGTCAGGCCATGAAACAGCGGGAAGCAGACTGTCGTCTCTAAGTGTTGACTTCTATGTTCACTTTTATATTTATAAATATATATATATATATATATGTATATATATATATGTATATATATATATATATATATATATATATATATATGTGTGTGTGTGCGTGTGTGTGTGCGTGTTTGTGTGTGTGTGTGTGTGTGTGTGTGTATGTGGACAGTATCAGTGATAGAGCTGACATATTTAGTTGTATGGATATTAGTCTGTGACACTGGGTTTCATGCTAGTTTTTTATATATATTTTATATATATACTGAAGAATTACTTAACTTTATTTGACCATATCAATCCTTGTTGCTATGTCCCCGACTCCGCAGTTTCGTGGTACTGTGTCTACGAATATATATATATATATATATATATATGTGTGTGTGTGTGTGTGTGTGTGTATTATGAAATGGACAAAGTACGACAATTATTTTAAGACATTTTTATGTTTATATCTATAAAAAAAAAAAAAAAAAAAGAATGTATTAACATAAAAACGTTTTAAAATAATTGTCGGTCTTTCTGCATTTCATAATGTGTGACGTCATTTGTTTACATTTGGATACGCATCGAGCAGATATGAATGTACGTGAGAGAATCATGGAAGATTGTAGTTTAAAAACAGTAAAATCGACCTTGCTTAACGGAAACGCTCCTCTGTGACGCATTCGATAAAAGCACGTCAGGCTATATGACGGTTCGGTATAGAATACAGGTTCGATTCCTGTCGGAGGATGCATATTTTCTGAACATTCAGGCCGGTAAATGTTGTTAATACTGTTTATAAATAGAGCATTTACTTAAATATTTGTATTTATAAAAAGAATGTATAGACATAAAAATATCTTATATATATATATATATATATATATATATAAATTCATGAATCATTCATACAAAAAACAAATATAGAGGTTAATGAATTAAATGGCGAGAATACTTCGTCGCAAACAATATAATAAGATACATCAACCTCGAACCTGTATATGAATGATATGTTCCCCGTTTATAAATTCCAGTTGCATAAGGTCTTTTTAATTTTTTACAAGCTTTCGTCTGTTCCTACAGACATCATCAGGTATGGAAGTAGATTTTGTTCTTGTTTGTACTTCTCTGTAATAAGAGGACAACGAAAATAGAGATGTAATCCGAAAAAATGCTATGAGAAATGTGTTATTGTTTTGGAACGTGCGGTCGCGACGCTGAGTTTGAATTTTAAATTTTAAGGGTGTGCGTTTTTGTATAAATATAGCAATAAGAGAATTCTTTTTACTGGTAGATTTTCCGTGAATATGGCATGAACTATATTGTTCAATAATTACAGTAATGTCACACTTATTATTATTATTATTATTATTATTATAAACGGGGCGCATATCATTCATATACAGGTTCGGGGTTGATGTATCTTATTATATTGTTTGCGACGAAGTATTCTCGCCATTTAATTCATTAACCTCTATATTTGTTTTTTGTATGAATGATTCATGAATTTATAAATTATATTTGCACCTTTTAATTGAAATATATATATATAAATATATATATATAAAGAGAGAGAATGATTGTCACTTACCTTATTGGTGTTACCTTCAGCATCTCGATTTCAGATTTTCGTACACGACCACTCCAGCAATAACCCCATCCACACGTCAGTGAGTATCAGTAATTGTCTGGTTATATTTCTCGGGTTTCTTTCTTTTATATATGTACATTTTATTGGTGCAAGTTTTTTTTTTTCATAGTGGTTGTGTATGTGCGCCTTCGGGTCTGGGCGCGTAAGGGACAGACAGGCAGATAGAAAACATGAGTTGCCGTTCTGGATCAAACTAAAATACATAGGCCAAAGTAAGATAGAAATAACTGGTCGACTGATCTGCATTTACGGTTTATCAACCTTTCGTTGGTTATTTCAAGACGAAACATATTTTGAATTGGGTTGTGTCCTTTTTAGGGCCAGAAATAAAGACACAAAGAAAGGAATTGGGTTAAACAAATATATTAACAAAAACAGTAATACAAACATATACAAACGAGAGTGTTACAGCAAGAATGTTCAGTCCGACTGTCAGAGCTGACTGCTTGAAACATCCCTCCCTGAAAGGCAGTACCTGCTCCTATTTATAGCTAGGAGAGTTCATGCATACATGGGTAAATTTCCATAACAAATTGTAAAAATAAATCCTATTGTTTGCGAGTTAATATTTACATTTCTTTTTGAAAATAATATTTATTTTCAGATACAAATCCTACAATTAGACCTATAGAACTGGAGGTCGCAAATTGATTCGTAGCTTTCTCAAGAGTATTTGCTCTTAAGCGAATGTAGGATAGACGTAAAACAGATACAGTTAATCGTCAGATAGATAGATGGAATGAATGAATGATGAATGATGAATAGATGAATGATAAATAAAGAAGTCTTAGATAGATAGATAGATAGATGAATGAATAGATAGAAAGAAAAGAAAGAAATTAAAAAGAAAGAAAGAAAAAGAAAAGAAAGAAAAAAAAAAAACAGTCATGGATGAATGAATAGATAGAAAAAAAAAAAGAGTGAGATAGATAGATAGATAGATGAATAGATGATAGATGAATAGATAAAAAAGAGTCTTAGATAGATAGATAGATAGATAGATGAATGAATGATAGATATAGATAAAAAGAAAGAAAGAAAGAAAGGAAGAAAGAACAGTCATGGATAGATGAGATAGATGAAAAAAAAAAAAAAGATAGATAGATCGATAGATAGATAGATAGATAGATAGATAAAAAATGATGAATGGATAGATAGATGAATGAATGAATAAAAAAAAGAGTGAGATAGATAGATAGATAGATAGATAGATGGATAAATATATAAAGTCTTAAATAGATAGATAGATAGATAAAGAAGAAGAAAGAAAGAAAGAATGAATGAATATGATGAATAGATAGATAAAAAAAAAAAAAGAGTGAAATGATGAATAGATAGATAGATGAATAGATAGATAGATAGAAAAAAAAAAAAAAAATAGATAGATAGATAGATAGAAAAAAAGAGATAAAAAGAAAGATAGATAGATAAAATAGAAAGAGTGAAGATAGATGAGATAGATAGATAGATAAAAAAAAGCTTAAATAGATAGATAAAAGAACAGTCATAGATATAGATAGATGATATATGAACAAGCAGATATATAGATTGATAAAGAAGTGGTCTTAGATAGATAGATATATAAAATAGATAGATAGATAGATAGATAATAATGTGAACAAGCAGATATATAGATGGTAGATAGATAGATAGATATGTGGAGAGTGTGAGATAGATAGATATACGGAAAGAGTGAGATAGATAGATAGATAGATAGATGTGAACAAGCAGATATATAGATAGGTAGATAGATAGATAGATATGTGGAGAGTGTGAGATAGATAGATATACGGAAAGAGTGAGATAGATAGATAGATAGATAGATAGATGTGAACAAGCAGATATATAGATAGGTAGATAGATAGATAGATATGTGGAGAGTGTGAGATAGATAGATATACGGAAAACTAATGAGATAGATAGATAGATGAATGAATGAACAAGCAGATATATGAATGGGTAGATAGATGAATAGATATGTGGAGATGTGAGATAGATAGATATACGGAAAAGAGTGAGATAGATAGATAGATAGATAGATGTGAACAAGCAGATAGATAGATAGATAGATAGATGGATAGATAGATATAGATAGATATAGATGGATGGATGGAGGTGATATAGATGGATGGAGGTGCGAGATGAATGGATATATATAAAGATGAGATAGATGAATGGATGAATGGATAGATGAATAGATGGATAGATAGATGAATAGATGTGAACAAGCAGATGGATAGATAGATACATAGATGGAGATGGTATAGATGGATGGATAGATGCATAGAGATAGATGGATATACGGAAAGAATAGATAGATAGATGGATAGATAGATAGATGGATGGATGTGAACAAGCAGATAGATGGATATGATGAATAGATGGATAGATGGATGGATGGATAGATAGATGGATGGTATAGATGGATGGATGGATGGATGGATGGATGATATGAAAGATGGATACGGAAAGATGGTGAGATAGATAGATAGATAGATGAATGGATGGATGAATAGATATAGATAGATGAACAATTTATGATAGATGAACAAGATATATAGATGGATGGATAGATAGATGAATGGATGATGGATGGATAGATGGAGGTGGTATAGATGGATGGATGGAAATATGATAGATATATAGATAGATGAATAGATAGATGGATGGATGGATGGATGGATAGATGGATAGATGTGAACAAGCAGATAGATAGATGGATAGATAGATGAATGGATAGATGGATGGATGGAGTGATATATGATAGATGGAGTGCGAGATAATAGATATACGGAAAGGTGGGATAGATAGATATAGATAGATGGATAGATGAATAGATGAATAGATAGATAGATGGATGTGAACAAGCAGATAGATGAATAGATAGATGATGGATGGAGATGGTATGAATGGATGGAGAGTGCGAGATAGATAGATATACGGAAAGAGTAGATAGATAGATGATAGATAGATAGATGATTTAATAGATAGATGGATGGATGGTATAGATAGATGGAGTGTGAGATAGGATAGATATATGATGAGGAAAGATAGATAGATAGATAGATGGATAGATAGATAGATAGATGGATGGAGAGTGTGAAGATGGATAGATATACGGAAAATGTGGACAGATAGATAGATGTGATAGATATAGATATGATGAATGGATGAATGAATGGATGTGAACAAGCAGATAGATAGATAGATAGATAGATGGAGAGTGATATAGATAGATGGAGAGTGTGAGATAGATAGATATACGGAAAGAGTGAGATAGATAGATAGATAGATAGATAGATAGATAGATAGATAGATGATAGATAGATAGATGTGAACAAGCAGATAGATAGATAGATAGATAGATAGATAGATAGATAGATAGATAGATAGATGGAGGATGGTATGGATAGATGGATAGATAAATGAGATGGATGGATATACGGATTCCTTTCTTTTGATAGATAGATAGATAGATATATAGATAGATAAATAGATAGATATGTGAACAAGATAGATAGATAGATAGATAGATAGATGAATAGATAGATAGATATAGATAAGATGGATGGAGATATATAGATAGATGGAGAGTGCGAGATAGATAGATAGATAGAAAATGAGATAGATAGATATAGATAGATAGATAGATGGAGATGAATAAGATAGATAGATAGATACATAGATGGAACAGATAGATGATGAATGCGAGATAGATAGATATGATAGATGGATAGATGGATAGATGATAGATGAATGCAGATAGATAGATGGATGATGGATATACGAGATAGATGAGATAGATAGATAGATAAATGGATAGATAGATGGATGGATAGATGGATGAATGGATAGATAGATGGATGATAGATGGGATAGATAGATGAAAGAGTGGATAGATGAGATGGATAGATAGATGGATAGATATGGATAGATAATATGGATGGATGTGATAGATAGATGGATAGATGAATAGATAGATGGATAGATGGAGACAGATATAGATGAATGGAGGTGTGGATAGATAGATATATGGATAGATGAGATAGATGGATGGATAGATGGATAGATGTGAATAAGCTGATAGATAATGAATGGATAGATGAATGAATAGATAGATAGATGGATGGATAGATGGATGGATGTGATATAGATATGATGGAGATAGTGCATAGATAGATAGATAGATAGATAGATAGAAAGAGTGTTGAGATAGATGAATAGATATATGATGGATGGATAGATAGATGGATGTGATGTGATCTAGATGATGGAAAATGTGAGATAGATGAATAGATGGATTATTAGATAGATGGATGGATGGAGACAAGCAGATAGATGGAGATAGATGATTCTTAGATAAATGAGAATATAGATGGATAAATGGATGGATCCGTTCTTTGATGGATATATAAATTGATAGATGAATAGATGAATGGATTTTTTGGATGATGGATGAAATAACAGGATGTATTTAATGTGAATGGGATAAATGAATGTTTTCATATTTCTATATAAAAAAAAATCCTTTCCTTTGATAGAAAAAAATACTTTTTTTGATACTTTTCTTTTTTTTTGATTTCTTCCATTTTAATAGAATTCTTTTTTTTCATTATTTCTAATTTTCATTTTTCTTTCTTTTCTTTTCATACTTTCTTTTCCTTTTTATCTTTCTTTTCTTTTCCTTTTTTTCTTTCTTTTCTATTTCCTCTTCCTTTTCTTTCTTTCTTTTCTATTTCCTCTTCCTTTTTCTTTCTTTTTTCTATTTGCTTTTTCTTTTCTTTCTTTCTTTTCTTTTTTTCCTTTTCTTTCTTTTTTCTATCTTTCCTTTTCTTTCTTTCTTTTCTCTTTCCTCTTCCTTTTTTTTTCTTTTCTTTTCTATTTCCTCTTCCTTTTCTTTCCTCTTTTTCTTTTCTCTTTTTTTCTTCCTTTTTTTTCTTTTCTTTTCTTTTTGCTTCTTCCCTTTTCTTTCTTTCTTTTCTATTTGCTCTTCCTTTTCTTTCTTTCTTTTCTATTTGCTCTTCCTTTTCTTTCTTCTTTCTTTTCTTTCATTTCTCTTCCTTTTCTTTCTTTCTTTTTTCATTTCCTCTTCCTTTTCTTTTTTCTTTCTTTTTTCTTTCCTCTTCCTTTTCTTTTCTTTCTTTTATTTCCTCTTCCTTTTCTTTCTTTTTTTTTTCTTTCCTCTTCCTTTTTTCTTTCTTTCTTTTTCTTTTCTCTTCCTTTTTTTTTTCTTTCCTTTTTCTTTTTTTCTTTCTTTCTTTTCTTCCTCTTTTTTTCTTTTCCTTTTTCTTTTTTCTTTCCTTTTCTTTCTTTTCTTTTTTATTTCCTCTTCCTTTTTCTTTCATTCTTTTTTATTTCCTCTTCCTTTTTTTTCTTTCTTTTCTTTTTCCTTTTCCTTTTCTTTCTTTCTTTTTCTCTTTCCTTTTCCTTTTCTTTTTTTTTCTTTTCTTTTTTTTCCTCTTCCTTTTCTTTCTTTTCTTTTTTTATTTCCTTTCCTTTTCTTTCTTTCTTTTCTTTTCCTCTTCCTTTTCTTTTTTTTCTTTTCTTTTCTCTTCCTTTTCTTTCTTTCTTTTCTTTTCTCTTCCTTTTCTTTCTTTCTTTTCTTTTTCCTCTTCCTTTTTTTCTTTCTTTTCTTTTTCCTCTTCCTTTTTCTTTCCTCTTTCTTTTTTCTTTTCTTTCCTCTTCCTTTTCTTTCTTTCTTTTTCTTTTCTTCCTTTTCTTTCTTTTCCTTTCTTTTCCTCTTCCTTTTTTCTTTCCTTTCCTTTTTTTTTTTCCTCTTCCTTTTTCTTTTCTTTCTTTTCCTTTTTCTTTCTTCCTTTTTCTTTTTCTTTCTTTTTCCTCTTCCTTTTTCTTTCTTTCCTTTTTATTTCCTCTTCCTTTTTCTTTCTTTCTTTTTTTTTTTCTCTTCCTCTTCCTTTTCTTTTTTTCTTTTCTATTTCCTCTTCCTTTTCTTTCTTTCTTTTTTCTTTTCCTCTTCCTTTTCTTTCTTTTTTTTTCTTTTCCTCTTCCTTTTCTTTCTTTTCTTTTTCTTTCCTCTTCCTTTTTTTTCTTTCTTTTCTATTTCCTCTTCCTTTTTTCTTTCTTTTTTTTTTTCCTCTTCCTTTTCTTTTTTCTTTCCTTTTCTATTTCCTCTTCCTTTTCTTTCTTTCTTTTCTTTTCCTCTTCCTTTTCTTTCCTTTTTTTCTTTTTCTTCCTTTTTTTTTTTCTTTCTTTTCTATTTTTCCTTTTCTTTCTTTTTTTTCTTTTCCTCTTCCTTTTTTTTTTTTCTTTTCTTTTCCTCTTCTTTTTCTTTTTTTCTTTTTCTTTTCCTCTTTCTTTTTTCTTTCTTTTCTTTTTCCTCTTCCTTTTCTTTCTTTTCTTTTCTATTTCCTTTCCTTTTTTTTTCTTTTTTTCCTTTTTTTCTTTTTTCTTTCTTTTTCTCTTCCTTTCCTTTTCTTTCTTTTTCTTTCTTTTTTTTTTTTTCCTTTTCTTTTTTTCTTTTTTTCTTTCCTTTTTATTTCCTCTTCCTTTTTTTCTTTCTTTTTTTTCCTCTTCCTTTTCTTTTTTCTTTTTTCTTTTCTTTTCCTTTTTTCCTCTTCCTTTTTTTTTTCTTTCTTTTCTTTTCCTCTTCCTTTTCTTTCTTTTTTTCTTTTTTTTCCTCTTCCTTTTCTTTCTTTCTTTTCTATTTCCTCTTCCTTTTCTTTCTTTCTTTTCTATTTCCTCTTCCTTTTCTTTCTTTCTTTTCTATTTGCTCTTCCTTTTCTTTCTTTCTTTTCTCTTTTCTTTTCCTTTTCTTTCTTTTTTTCTCTTCCTTTTCCTTTTTCTTTCTTTTTTTCTTCTTTCTCTTCCTTTTTTCTTTCTTTCTTTTCTATTTCCTCTTCCTTTTCTTTCTTTCTTTTCTATTTGCTCTTCCTTTTCTTTCTTTCTTTTCTATTTCCTCTTCCTTTTCTTTCTTTCTTTTCTATTTCCTCTTCCTTTTCTTTCTTTCTTTTCTATTTCCTCTTCCTTTTCTTTCTTTCTTTTCTATTTCCTCTTCCTTTTCTTTCTTTCTTTTTTTTTCCTTTTCTTTTCTTTTCTTTCTTTTCTTTTTCTTTTTTTCCTTTTTTCTTTTCTTTTTTTCTTTTTTTTTTTCTTTCCTCTTCCTTTTCTTTCTTTCTTTTCTATTTCCTCTTCCTTTTCTTTCTTTCTTTTCTATTTGCTCTTCCTTTTCTTTCTTTCTTTTCTATTTCTTTTCTTTTCTTTCTTTCTTTTCTTTTCCTCTTCCTTTTCTTTTCTTTTCTTTTCTATTTCCTCTTCCTTTTCTTTCTTTTCTTTTCTCTTTTTTTTCCTTTTTTTTTTCTCTTTTTTTTCTTTCCTTTCCTTTTCCTTTTCTTTCTTTCTTTTCTTCTTTCCTTTTCCTTTTCTCTTTTTTCTTTCTTTTCTTTTTCCTTCTTCCTTTTCTTTTCTTTCTTTTTTATTTCCTCTTCCTTTTCTTTCTTTTTCTTTTTCTATTTCCTCTTCCTTTTCTTTCTTTCCTTTTCTTTTTTCTTTTCCTTCCTCTTCTTTTCTTTTCTTTTCTTTTTCCTTTCCTTTTCTTTTTTTCTTTTTTTATTTTTTCTTCTTCTTTTTCTTTTCTTTCTTTTTTATTTCCTCTTCCTTTTCTTTTCTTTCTTTCTTTTTTCTTTTTTCTTTTTCTTCCTTTTTCTTTTCATCTTTCTTTTTTATTTCCTCTTCCTTTTTTTTCTTTTCTTTTCTATTTCCTCTTCCTTTTCTTTCTTTTTTTTTTCTTTTCTCTTCCTTTTTCTTTCTTTTCTTTTTTTTTCCTCTTCCTTTTTCTTTCTTTCTTTTCTTTTCCTCTTCCTTTTCTTTTTTCTTTCCTTTTTCTTTTCCTTTTCTCTTCTTTTTTTCTTTTCCTCTTCCTTTTTCTTCTTTCTTTTCTTTTTCCTCTTTTTTCTTTCTTTCTTTTTTCTTTCCTCTTTTTTTTTCTTTTTTTTCTCTTCCTTTTTCTTTCCTTTTTTTTTTTTTCCTCTTCCTTTCTCTTCTTTTTTTTCCTCTTCCTTTTTTTTTTCTTCCTTTTTTCTTTCTTTCCTTTTTCTTTTCCTCTTCCTTTTCTTTCTTTTCTTTTTCTTTCCTCTTCCTTTTTCTTTCTTTCTTTTCTTTTTTCTTCTTCCTTTTCTTTTCCTTTTCTTTTCTTTTCCTTTTTCCTCTTCCTTTTCTTTCTTTTCTTTTTTCTTTCCTTTCCTTTTCTTTCTCTTTTCTTTTTTCTTTCCTTTTCTTTCTTTCTTTTTTTTTCCTTTCCTTTTTTTTCTTTCTTTTCTTTTTCCTCTTTCTTTTTCTTTTTTCTTTTTTTTCCTCTTCCTTTTCTTTCTTTCTTTTCTTTTCCTCTTCTTTTCTTTTCTTTCTTTTCTATTTCCTCTTCCTTTTCTTTTTTCTTTTTCTTTTCCTCTTCCTTTTTCTTTCTTTTCTTTTTTTTCTTCCTTTTTTTCTTTTCTTTTCTTTTCTTTTCCTTTTCTTTTTTTTCTTTTCCCTCTTCCTTTCTTTTTTCTTTTCTTTTTCTTCCTTTTTTTCTTTCTTTTCTTTTCTCTTCCTTTTCTTTTTTCTTTTTCTTTTCCTTTCCTTTTCTTTCTTTTCTTTTTCCTTTCCTTTTCTTTTCTTTCTTTCTTTTCTTCCTTTTTTCTTTTTCTTTCTTTTTCTTTTCTTTCTTTTTTCTTTCTTTTCTTTTCCTCTTCCTTTTCTTTTCTTTTTCTTTCCTCTTCCTTTTCTTTCTTTCTTTTCTTTTCCTCTTCCTTTTCTTTCTTTCTTTTTTTTTCCTCTTCCTTTTTTCTTTTTTTCTTTCTTTTCTATTTCCTCTTCCTTTTCTTTTTTTTCTTTTCTTTTCCTCTTCCTTTTCTTTCTTTTTTTTCTTTTCCTCTTCCTTTCTTTCTTTTTCTTTTTCTTTCCTCTTCCTTTTCTTTCTTTTCTTTTTTCTTTTTCCTTTTCCTTTTCCTTTTTTTCTTTTCTTTTTTTCTCTTCCTTTTTCTTTTCCTTTTTCTTTTTTCTTTTCCTCTTTTCCTTTCCTTTTCTTTTTCTTCTTTTTCTTTTTTCTTTCCTTTTCTTTTCTTTTTCTTTTCTTCCTTTTCTTTTTTCTTTTCTTTTCTTTTTCTTTTCTTTTTTCTTTTTTTCTTCCTTTTCTTTCTTTCTTTTTCTTTCTCTTCTTTTTTCTTTTTTTCTTTTCTTTCTTTCCTTTTCTTTCTTTTTTTTTTTCCTCTTCCTTTTCTTTCCTTCTTTTTTTTTTTCTTCCTTTTTCTTTCTTTCTTTTCTTTTTTTCTTCCTTTTCTTTCTTTCTTTTTCTTTTCCTCTTCCTTTTTTTTTTCTTTCTTTTTTATTTCCTCTTCCTTTTCTTTTCTCTTTCTTTTTATTTCCTCTTCCTTTTCTTTCTTTCTTTTTTCTTTTTCTTTTTTCCTTTTCCTTTTCTTTCTTTTCCTTTTTTCTTCTTCCTTTTTTCTTTCTTTTTTCTTCCTCTTCCTTTTTCTTTCCTTTCTTTTCTTTTTTTCTTTTTCTTCTTTTCT